TTGAAGTATGTAACAGTTTTGGTATCGGAGCAGACCAAAACGGATCTGCTCACCAGGTAAGACCGTTTAGAATTAGGTTATCATGTTTGATCTTCTAAATCGGCGCTGAAGTATTATCAAGTTCAAAGTTGCAAATTTTCTTTTTCGGTATTCTCGCTAATTCGGCATTTCCGTTTCAATTCAGTATTCGGACTTTTATTCGGATTTCTGTTGTACACAGTATGCTGTTTAAGGAGATCCGAGAGAGTGATACTAATCCAACATTCTGTTTGATTCGAATTTCTGGATAAGTATTCGTAATTAGGGTTGAATCAGTATCATGTTGGAAATTCGGGTTTTCTGATGTTCATTCAGCATTCCGTTTTTCGGCATTCTGTTGTAAATCCTATATTTCGTGTTCTGTTGAGATTTCCGTTGTCTTTCAATATGGGAATTAGGGTTATGAAAATCTTTTGGTTTTAGATCAACTTGGGGAAACCCGAACGTTTTGGGACCGTAAATCCGGAAATTTCGCCGAACCGCGGAAATTAGGGTTGGGGCCGAAATTTTTGCGAATTTTTTTTTCGTTCTCCTTGTTTGAGAAATTCCGAAAATAGGTTTAGGCTTTTAAAAATCGGATTTTGACGGTAGGAATTCCCGAAAATTCGCAATTTTGAAAATTCGAGCGTTTTTCTTCTGAAATTTTCCGAAAATTTTTTAACACACTAAGCCGTATCTGACCTTAAATTGCAACTACCGGGCAGTTCACTCGTTAAACAGAGAACTCCCGGTCTCATAGTGATCTCAAAGAGACCTAATCATAATACCTTTCAAATTCGTTTATTAATTGGTCATCCTTATTTACAAACATTGTTCTACTGATTATCATTAATTGGTTATCTTTATTACAAACATTGTTTACTGATTATCATTTGGATTTATTTCATTAATTATCATTAATTAATTTTATTGATTAAATCGTTATAAATTCCTTATTACGAATTTTTTTCGAAGGGTTTACGGGAAATTTGTTCTTTTTCCTGTTTGATTAGGTGTCTACAGTCCATCAGTGGGACAGGGGATTGTATGTATATTGCTYGATTGTTCTACCCCTGTTCCCACTCTCCCTACCCCCGTGTTCTGTGATTACCGGGACTTCTCAAGTACCGCATCGGTTCAGACTGATGTCGACGGAACAGGACACCGGGGCACTGCCACGACGCAGTGCCAGAATCGCAGTTCGTGCCCGCCCTGCAGTACCTCCRAGACCGAAGAAACTCAGCAGACGGACGACTCCAGCAGCATCAAG